TTAGGCGAACTTTGCACTCCGCAAATAAAATAGTATTATTATTCTTTAATGTAAAATTTGTAAAATGTAAAAATATTTGTTTTATTTTGAATGAACATTATGACGAAAATGTTAATGAAAATTAACAACTTAGAATTATTTAAAATAAAGAAACATTTTTTTGTATTCGACAAAGTTTTAGAGTAGAAAACAGGGAAAGGATTTAAAAAATGTTTACCTATTTTGAGACTTTTAGCTTTAACAAAGAAAAACACGAATAAGACTTTTCAATGTGAATGAAAACTTTTGACAGCATATATAGAAGGAAATACAGGTTTCTTACAATAATTAAAAGCGGGAGAAACACTCGGAAATGATGAAAAAAGATCAATTGCGAGAAAGGACCTCAATCAAGAAACTTTGGGTGTTCTGCAACATTTTTTTTTCTTTTTGCATGGTCATCAAATTAAAAAAAAAAGTTACTACTGAAGGGGTTTAAATCAAATACCAATTTTTAAAAATTCATCTTTTCAAGAAAAAAAATTCATCCTTAAACTTTATACTAACTCTGAAGGAAATAAAAACAGTTCATTTATTTTTTTTGTTTTAGTTGTCTTGATTTATTTGTTCTATAATAAATTTTTTGTAATAAAAATAAAAATAGACGAAATAATTTATTGATCATTTAAATTGGCAAAGAGTATAATAGCAGAAAAAAAACAAACGCATTTGGAGTTTTCATGTTCACACCAACAGTATCGAGTTGATCAAGTGACAACAAGTCACTTCGAAACATTGTTCTTCTTGCTGATTTCAAGATTCCAATTTTATTAAGCATCTATTCAAAATGGTCCAATGATTTATGAAAACTAGCCAAGCCCACAAAGTTGCCCATCCCTTTAATTTTTTTTGACAGTTGCCCAGGTTTTCAGTTTCAGTTTACTTTTGTGACCGACTCGTATGGTTACATCGAATACTAATAAAATAATTATTATTATTATTATTATTCACCGATTGTATTTTATTTTTAATGAATACTTCTGTTCTCTTGAAATGCATGATCGATTTATCCGTTCGATTATCAATTCTTCTTAACTTCCACAATCATGATTGTTATCATCAAGATACTGGGGATACAAATGAAGAAACTACGATTTTATTAACGAATTAACCCATGATGTAAAAAGAGGTTTTATTAAATTTTCTCTTATAAATTTCTTTAGAAAAAAAATTAATTGTTCGCGTAAAATGTGGAATTTTATGCTTTCACGTGATTATATATATATATATATATATATAGAGAGAGAGAGAGAGAGAGAGAACGTTAGAGAGGACGTATTGACTCGAATGCGTATATTGCTAAGAAGGTATGTATGACATAACGACGTATGAAGAATGTAGATAAATAATGTGTGAGTGGGAGTGAGGCATAAACGACCATAAAAACTTTTTATTAAAAATAGAGAGAATCTACATAATAAAATAAGTTGGGGGGGGGGGGGTAAACTGAGGTTAAAATGAAAAAAAAAAAGAACCCCCCCTCCCCCCGGCTTCAACAAGTAACTATTAATGTGTCAGGGAATGTTATAGAATAGATGTTGTTCTCTTATTACTAAGAGAAAAAAAACAAGAACAACATCTATTCTATACCTGAAGATGTCTGTAGGAACAGACCGAAAGTTTTAGTAAAAATAACAACTAATACGGCAGAAATTTATATAAACAAGGATCAATTCATTCATAACGGATCTGGAGGTTTTTGTATACTATTTGAATTGTTTGCGATGATGGATGTCTCGCCATTTAAATCATTAACCTTTGCATTAGTTTTGTGTGAATAATTCATGTATGTATATATATATATATATATTACACACACACTGAATATATTGGCGCCTCTTGAACATAGAACCAGACAAGCTATCCCCCCAAAAAAAAGCTTTCATTCTCTTCACAATGCTGAAGAGATGCAAAATAAACAATTTTTAGCAATTCCGATTTTTTTTTAAGGAATCTGAAATCAAGATAAACACTAAGAAAAAGTATGAACTACCATCCGCTCAATAAGTTTTCACATGTTTGAAGTTATTCAATTTTTATAAACATTAGACATTTCTATCAGTCTATCCTGATAAATAAATGCTCAAAAGAAATTATTTTTATTAATTGATTGAAAATCTATCACACACAAAAAAGAGGATGTATTGAATATGAAAGATGTAGCCAACTTATTAAGAAATCCACTGGTAAAGGAAGAAGCAAATTGTCACCAAGATAATTTTTTTTTAATAAGCATTTCGCCCCCAAGTAAAGCAGGCGTGCCACTGATTTGCAGGAAATTACATAGAGTGAAGGTGAGAGAAAATAAACTGTGTATGGGGGTGGAATGAGGAAAGGATAAATGATGAATGGAGTTCAAGACACCAGAAGATGGCGATTGACATTGCATTTAAATTTTTGAAGATTATAGTTATCAGGGAAGCAAGTAAATGGATGGGAGTTCCATAGGCGGGGAAAAGATGCTGTTGGAGTAGAAGTGGCAATTTCATTTAACTATATCAATGGTAAAAGGGGTGGGACCTAAATGCTAGTCTAGTAACACGCTTAAATTTATGTAGTCAGGGCACCAGAGAGAGAAAAGAAAGAAGTTTGACAGAAGATTTTGTAATGCTCGTTTGTAGGAGAGACTTTGTAAATCAGATACAACAATAGTAACGCCTTTGAACAACACTTGGTCAGACACCAAGCTAATTCCCATATATAGATTTTTTTTTCCCTTTACCTATCATGTGATCTAATTATTTCAAGATGAGGTCGACTGTGCTTGCTCTCTGGCAATCCGTGTTCAAATCCAAGTGTCAGCAGCAACACTTTATTCCGATATGACAGAAGAGTTTTCACGAAAATATTTGAAGAAAAGACAGAGGGAAGCCACATCAAATCCATGAGAAAGTGACTGAAGTTGAGATGCCAGTTCAGGATCGATTAGATTGCAGATCCTTCTTTGGATTTTGTCTAGAACCTCGAGATGAACAGCTGGGGCACCAGACTTGATATGTCAACAGAACTCATTGAGTTAAAGGCAAAGTACACACATTATTTTGTTGTGTGTTTGTCAAGTGATGAAATTAAGACACAAAAATTTATTGGTTTAAAAGCAATTACAAAATATTATCATGTTTAGTTGATATATGCCTGACATAGATCCAATGTGGAAAGTACAGATAGTTTACTCCGTGTATTGAGGAAAATATATTTGAATAGAAACAAATAGCCATGTACACCTTATTGCATGAAAAGTAGGTATCTCAAAAAATTAGTTAAAAAGAGGTTACATGATGAAAATATAAAACAAAAGCACAAAACCTAATAAAAACAAACTTTTGTCATCAATACTGGTGTTATTACAAAGAAAGATCAAAGGGTTTTTAGATGTAAATATTTTTTTTTTTTTTAATTGGTTCAGAACCTTGAAAATTTTAGTTAAAAATAGACTATATATTTGTACGAGAAATTTGAGCATCTTTTTGGTGACAGAGTGGTTTGGAAATTCTTGCAAAAATCAGATAATTGTTGGATTTTAATGAAAGTTTGTCAGGATTTAGTCAGAAATAAATGGACTCCTTTTTCTTTTTTCCCTTTTTTTTTTTAAATCTTGGTAAATTCTTTTCATTATTTTAGGAAGAATTTTGAATTTTTTTTGCATGTATAAATGTGTCGACTTTTGTAAATCTGAATGTACAGACAATATTATCAGAAAATATAGTGTAGATATTATTATCATTATTATATAATAACTATAGTAAATATAAATTTTATTGATAATTTTCTATCATTCCTTCAACAAGTATCTTCACTTAAAATATACTTTTCTGAAATGTTATTTTTGAAAGATTTTTTTTTTGATGTCGTGTTGACAGATTTGTCAATATGGACAAATTTATAGATTTTACTGATAATCAGGAAAAAATTTCTTCCAATCAATTTAAATTAGGTTTGAAATGCTGCAAAGTATTGTGTGTATTGAAAATATTAAATTTAATCTAGTTGCTTGGAATTAAAACTAAAATTAAAACTTTAAGCAACATTTTCCATTTTTTAAAATGTATTTCAAACCTTTTTTTGGAAGTGCCTACATAAAAGACAAAAAAATACACCTTTTTTTTTTGTTATTTTTTGGTCACCTCACTAAATCTTCCTCAATTAAGATATAAATAGTACCATTTATTTTGTCGACCTTTAACAAGAGTCCTTAGATATACATACTTATTCGACACCTGACGTAAAAAATAATAACCTCATCTATAACAAGGAAAAAGAATAATAGGTGTGTGTATGTATGTATATATCAAATTTAATAAAGGCAAAACACCTGACCCTCTTCCGCTCACCATATAAGATTTGTTGTTAATTTCTGCAAAATCTCACCCGAAATGTTCAATAAAGTTTTGTTGGTAAAACAAGTGAATGCTATCAGAAGTAAATAAAATTACCCGGCCCCAGAGAAAAATCTTCCCTTCGTGATCTGAACGTGAGAGCGACCTTTGGAAAGGTGTGGACAGAATGAAATAAACATCTTGTGCAGAAAAGAAAACATGCCTTTCAAAAAGGCAATACATAATTTACGAGTTTTGTTTGTAGTCTCGTCGTTTGAAGATAAGGAGGAGGAGGAGGAGAGAATTTAATCGATCAGCTTTTCTCAGACAAGAAGAACGGAGGTGATTGCAGAACAGGGACCTCATGGAAAATGACAAAACAAAACAAAAAAGCAAACTCCAAATGCCAAATATTTACCATTTTACTTAGTCTAGCTACTAAAGAGCCAGGAATGTTTGATTCGTGTGAACATTGTGCAGGCATTTAAGCAGCTCAAGAGATTTCGCACTTATATATATCTACCCATTTTATTTAGTATGGAAATAATCAAAATGATTTCTTGAGAGGTGGGGGGACGGATAGAAGAGGAGGCTTAATATTAATCATGTGCAATAAGTAGGTGTATCACTGCATTATGTACAAACTTATAGAAATGAACTAGATAGGGAAATAGAGAGGGAGCAGCGAGTGGGGGGGGGGTAACAAGAGAAAGATAGAGCAGGGTGAGATAACTAGGGAGACAGAATGAGTGGATTGGGGTTACAATAAGAGAAGAGAGAGTAGAGAGGGAGATAGAGAGAAGAACTGGGGAGACACAAGCATTCCCATGCTCCTCTCCTCGATAAAGAGAGAAAGAAGAATAGAGAGAGTGAAAAAAATGTTCATGTAATTTAGAAAATGTGACAGGTAGGAAGATCAACTTTACAGCATGCTGTACCATCCATCTATTTACCTAGCGAGAGAGGGGGGGGAAGAGAGAGAGAGAGAGGATGAAGAGAGAGAGAGAGGAGAGAGAGAGAGAGGATGGAGAGAGAGGATGAAGAGAGAGAGAGGATGAAGAGAGAGAGAGAGGATGAAGAGAGAGAGAGAGGATGAAGAGAGAGAGAGAGGATGAAGAGAGAGAGAGAGGATGAGAGAGGAGAAGAGGAGAGAGAGGATGAAGAGAGAGAGAGGAGGAAGAGAGAGAGAGAGGATGAAGAGAGAGAGAGAGAGAGGATGAAGAGAGAGAGGAGAGAGAGATGAAGAGAGAGAGAGAGAGAGGAGGATGAAGAGAGAGAGAGAGAGGATGAAGAGAGAGAGAGAGAGGATGAAGAAGAGAGAGAGAGAGGATGAAGAAGAGAGAGAGAGAGGATGAAGAAGAGAGAGAGAGAGGATGAAGAAGAGAGAAGAGGAAGAGACAGAGAGAGTCAGAGTCAAGTGATTTGGAGTTTCTACATTAGTCGGCACTGATGCTGCTTAGCTTTGGCTTGGAACAAAGAGTCTTTGAGGCAAGCCAGAGATTTACTCCATCCAGAGTCAGGCTACAGCTCAGCACTGCTTTCTTTTCTTTTCTCCCTCTCTCTCTCTCGTGCACAAGAGGTAACAACCCTGCTTCTGTGGCTGACAACGAACGGCCAGTCTTCAACCTCAGAGTAGATTGGCGAGATACAGACGATCGATCCACAGTCACCACGGCAATTTATCGACTGTAGCAGCAGCAGTGTGTGTGTGTGTGTGTGTGTGTGCGTGTGTGCAGTAGAAATCTCAAGGACTGCCTGATTTTATTCCCCTCTTCACAAATATAGAGAATTTGGATTTAAAAGTAATGAATAAGAAAATCAGAAATGTAATGAAATATTTACATAAGTCTTTTCTGACTTTTTTTTTTTTTAAACCTTGCGAAGAAGGACAGTGCCTGATCTTTGTTTTTAATGGATGTCATGAATTTAGAGGAATAAATATGGCTATGCTCAGAATGAAAATATTTTTATTCACACTCTTATACCAATAGCAACAAGCAAGCAATCTCAACATCAGAAACAGTTTATCTAATTCTATAGATGCAAGAGTAAATAATAGTAAGAAAGACAGAAAAATTTCTAACTGAAGGATTTTGCCTTCACGTTTCCCCTGCTCCAGTTCCCAAAAAAGAAAAAAAAAAAATTTTTCAGTGTGCTCTTTGCATGCACTTGTTATCAAAGAAACTATTCTTCGACAAGCCATCTTATAAAAAAAAAAAAAAAAAAAAAAAGACTCCAAGAGAAACAGTTACCAGTCTGCTCACTTAAAAGCCAGCATCACCTGACCCTGAAGTCATTTCTAAAACTGATTTATTTCTTCCAAAAGATCAGAGCTCTACCATCAGGCAGTGCCCTTCTAGTTTTTGCTTCTGTAGCCGATATCTTCACAACTATAAATTTATTACGAAGAAGAAATTCTGAATTCCTTCAGTCATGTTATTTCATTGTTTTTAGTATTTTAATGTCTCTTGAAATATTTAATTAATAATGCACATTATCAACCATGAGATAAAGTGGAAAAATGCAATCATTTTTCTTGTTACAAGATTTAGGCACTTAATAAAAAAAAAAAAAAATTCATAAGGCCAAAATGACATTTTTCAGAAATTAATTTAAAAAAAAAAAAAAAAAAAAAAAAAAACTACCATCTTTAAATTCTAAAAATGTTCTTTTTGGAGAAAAGGAACATCACAAATCACCTACAAAGAGCTAATTATTAAAAAAATACCCTGTGTCTATTTTGTCTTTTGCTAAATTTGAAAACAAATGCATTGAATGTTTCTAATATGAAATATAAAAAGGTTTACAGGTAAACAGTTGTTGTATATAAAGTCAGAAAATAATGATATACACACCATGGTGGACCAATAAGACTGTAGCCTGATATAGAGGTACAAGGTGAATTTTAATTAGAAATTTTCATTCTTCAGATCTATATAATTGTCACAATTAAATGAAATATATTAATAAAGATATCTGGCAAAATAGATGCTTCTTGATTAGATTATAAACTTATTTATATATACCTACATATAATAACTGACCTGTTAAAAACACTTGCTGGCCTGTGAGAAGAATACATCACTGGAAATTTTCAATGTACAAATTACTGATTTACTTCAAGATTAAACTTAAAAAAAAGAAAAGCTTTTATGACAAAGACAGAGTTTTGTAACTTCCTGAACTTTTGCTATCAATATACAACATTTCTCATTCTGTAAAGCCATGTTTTTTTGTCTTTCAATAAAAATGGAAATCAAATGGGAATCAAATGGGAATGTGAAAAATGTAAAGATTAATTGGATTCTTGGATCAGCGATGCAAACTGCAAAGATTAACAGTTGTTGGAGATAAGATTAAGAAACGGCAAATGCCTTCTTCTTTCAGACTCAATGGTTCTGACTAAAAAGGTGCCAGGTTTGTGAGGTAGAAGAATAAATTCACAAAAATCTTCATACATGAATCACCCACCCTGTCAAACAAGCCTCTGTAAAAAAAAAAAAAAAAAAAAAAAAAAAAGTTCATACAAATTAAATAAAAAAAAAAAAAAAAAAAAATTAAGTCAAAAATATTTAATATATTTTTTTTCAAATTATTTCTAAAATAACCAAAAGCAACAAGAAATGTTTCCTACCAAAAATTAAAAATGTGAGGGAATGCTGAAAAGTACTTGAATGGGACAAAAAGTGATTTTATAAAAAATCTGATGTTGGAGCCAGGCCGCGAGATTTTGAGTTACCCACGCAACGTCTTTTTTTTTTTTTTTTTTTTTTTTACACATTATCAACCTTTGTAGATTATTTAAAGCTGAAACATTTTTGTTATTGCAAGAATATATACTCTCGACTCTCCCGTTGAATTCGACATATGAGGATCAAGCAGATCAGTTCCTAGGAAACTGACAGCCCTACAACAGCACATGAGATTTGATTATAGTGGTGAAGGTTTCGTGCAGGACCATCCACACTTTTTGAAGGGACGAATACAGAGACCTGGTGCACCACGTGCCACAAGGTCCCCAAACAACCCTCCATGAGGTTTTGAATTCAGAGTTGTCCTTCTCCAGACCAGTTGCCATCCAAGGCTATAGAACCCAGTCTGTCCTGCTATTTACCCATAGCTGGAGGGAGAAGAGGATTAATACCTTTCTCAAGGGAATCAGCACATAAGGGAATGTAATGGATTCGACTGGAATCTGAACTTGGCTCTACGATTCCTCAATTGGAGCCGCTATCCATTATTCCACTGTGCCTCTCCTTAAGAATTATATATATATATATATATATATATATATATGAGAGAGAGAGAGAGAGAGAGAGAGAAAGATTATATATATATATATATATATATATATAGACAGAGATAGAGAGAATTTTTCCCTAGATACAAGTTCTACTATTTAATCCATTGCTTGGGGGAGAGAAGAGATGGATTAATATCATCTGTAAGGATATTTGTGCTTAACGAACACAACTGAAATTTGAACTCTTTCTGATTTCTCATCCTCAGCCACTATCCATTGTGCTATCTGTATATCCTTTTTTTTAAGAAATATATTTGTTAAAACATTTAAATCAATGATCAGAATGATAAAACAAAAATTTGAAAATAATAAAAATGATTTTATTTATGGATTAAAAATCCATAAACTGTTTAAAAAAAAAAAAAAAAAAAAAAAAAAAGTAATAAAAATAAGATAAGGAAAGAAATACTTTGTTCTTTTCGTTTCCTCACATACAAACAAAGAGAAGGAGGGAAAGAGAAGAGGAGAAAAAAAAATTTACTTCTGTTTCCGTAGTTTAATATCATTTATCTTTCAAGGCAGATGGAGAAGATCAAAAAAAAAAAAAAAAAAAAAAAAAAAATCACAGAAAAGAAAGAAAATTGAAAATAAATATTTTTAGCTGATGGAACGTAACTTGCAAATATAAATTATTTTTTTTCTTTTTTTGTTCTCAATTCAAAAAGTAGTTCAAGAAAATGTTTAACAATAGCAACAACATTGAGATAAAATGACAATTGTCCAAGTTGGCAAGAAGTTTCAAAAATGAATATTCCAGGAGGAATTAAAAATAAAAGGATTAGTGTTTTTTTAGGGGGGGTTTGAGGCGACGACAGCGCAGAATTGAATAGAATTTAGTGGGAAGGAGTTTTGATGTTGTTATGGTGACATCACATGGGACGGAAAACAGCACTTCCTGTGACAAGAACAGTCTTTCAATGTCTTTTCTTGTATGTTGTAGGGGTGGGTGAAAAGAAAACCAAAGTCTTGTTTTTTGAAGGTACAGTCCTGACAAGATTATGAGAAGCAAATAGAATATCCATACTATTAAAGGAGGAGAAGATACATAAAATATTAGATGCAGAGTTAGAAATACACCCAGGAGAAGGAAAAAATAAGCAATTTGCAGCTGTCTACACAAAGATGCCAATTTAAACTTGACACAACACAACATGGACAAAAGCGGCCTTTGTAGTGACTCACTGGAGTTGCATATTTCCAACTGGGGTCAAAAGTTGATATTCAAGATCAAATGAAAGCAAGGTTTTTTGAATTCTGATTTTCAAGGCTTGTCAAAGTAAAGTACCACGACACAATCTTTCTGCCATCATTTCCCTTTATGCTAAGCTTAGTAAATATGCAACATATATACAAGTGAACAGTTAGACTTGCTGAGAGGAAAAAGTAAAATAAGTTCCATGGGTGCACAATCCAAGTTGGCCCTAGTAATATAAAAATATTAAAATTGATCCACAAAAGGAGAGATTGATGTATTTTATTTGGACAGAGCAATATGACGAGTAACCAAAAACAAAAAAATTCTTGTTACCTCTGGTAGGGAATAGGCTATTTCAGCAGACGATACAAGTGGCCGTCTGTCTTCTCAGCCTTGATATGGAATGAAATTCACCTTGAATTCAACGTTGAATTCCATTCCATATCAGGATTGAAAAGACAGACAACTATTTGTATTGTCTGCCAAAATAGCCTATTCCCTACATGAGGTAAAAAGAAAATTTCTTTTTCAATTATTCATTATATATACATACACACACTACTACAGAAAAAAAAACAACTATGTTGGTGTAACCAACAGACAACTTGCCAGAAGACCTAACACCTTAGACAAGAAAAAGAAAAAACACTTCAGAATATCAAAACAAAGGACATCCTTATATATATATATATATATACATATACAGTAGCGTCCAAAACTAAGGGACAAAATTTTAAAACCTAATATTTGTTAGAAATAACAACTGTGAAAAGCTGAAATTTTGACAACTGGTAGTCATTATCATCCATAATAACATACTAAAATTTGAATCATTTGCAAAGGATGGAAAAAGAATTATAACAATTATTTATTTATTTTCAAATCTGGAACGTCCAAAAGTAAGGGACAAAATTGAGAA